CTTTTTCAGCATTGCAATTCTTTTTTTACACAGTACAGTAATTCAATCTTTCACAGACATGTTTAAACGCAATAAGCAACACATTATTCAATGCTTTTTACTTTTGCATTTACTTCTAGATTTATATATTAAGTTGCTCAAGCAAGTGGCAAACTACTTTCTTACGTTATCACAAACTTACCATTGACAGAAATAGTCAGCTCTACTGCCTTTTCTTTTGCATTTAAATCTTTATTACAAGGTATACCTCCACGAGTGCCATCTATTTTTGCCTTGTTTATCTAAACGTGCTCTTTCCCTTTAAACCTAGCCAAAAAGCCATATGTGTTGACTGTGAAACAAAGTAGACTTTAATAATATGCATTTATGGTGTAATTACTACATTTTCGTGTCAATCCATGTTCATATTTACTGCAAACAATGCGCTGTTACTTTAATTCAGCGCTTGCTGCGCAGCAGTAGACTCGGTGCGGAAACAATCTCTGCACTGCTGCCGACGCAACGCTTCTGGAATGCACTGCCGGACCACAGCCGTGTGAAGTGAACGCTTTAATCCGTTAACATGAGCGCGGAAAAAATATGCACCACATATGCACTGCAAACGGAGTAATGTGAACCTGGCATTATGTGTTTGCGCTGCGAATATGTGAGCAGCATGTATGTATGTGATTGTGTTTTTGAGAAAACAACGTTTATGCGTGCTAGTGAAAAACTAAAAATTTAAAGTCACTGAAATAAGGCCATAAAACACATACAGAATATTTGTTCACAGGACTATTGAGAACAGATCTTGAAGTCTAGAGTTTTTGCATCAGAATGATGTGAAAATCATCTTGTTTACTCACTCACAGAAAACAATATATTGATTTAAATTTTCTAAGACACTTTTTGTGTAGAAAAGGAATATGCGAGGGGGCGTGAATGGTCATGTATAATGAGTGATTCACACCTGAGAAGACAAAGGCCTGCATAATGAGCTGCATAATGAGCTGCATAATGAGCTGCATAATGAGCTGCATAATGAGCTGCATAATGAGCTGCATAATGAGCTGTCAGGTGTGTGACTGAGAGGGAATTGCTACAAGAAATAATGAGGAAAAAGAAATGTATCTATTTTTTTGTTTGTAGTTTATTTACAATATATATAACTATCACATCATTTTGGGAGTGTGTGCATCACATGGTCTTAGCTGTGGTCCAGGCTCTTGTGCAGGCAGGAATCTCAGAACCTGTGGAACATGTCAACGTCAGTCTCTGGTTTCCATGACCAAGTGGGCTGCTTATTTGCTTTGGCTCTCTTTGCAACAGGTTCTTTTGCACTGCTATTCTCACATCTGAAATAAAAAAGCAAGCATGCTATTTACACAAACTACATTATTAACATTATTATGATGTTCACTGATACTAGTACTAATTTATCTAAACAAAGAACACAATTACCACATAGCAAACATATTTTACCACAAAGTAACTAAATCAAATGAAAGTAACATCTGTAAAATAGTGAATGCACACTTACTCTAAAATTCTGAATGGAGTTGAAAACTGAACGAGTGCCCCCTTCCTATGAGAGATGCAGGTGAAGGCAAGAGTGGTGTACTCCCCACAGTACCTTAGTATAGTATGCATACTTCATGAGAAAACAATGCCAATTCTAACATTTTAACACTATCAACCACAAATAATATTACCACATATTCTGGGAATAATACAATTACTATACTGTGCACTTACTCAGTAGGATTTTCCAGCAAACTCAAAACTGAACGACGTGCGTGTGCCTTTCTTGTGCAAGATGCCGGTGATGCAGCCACAGTCCTAAACCAAAATGAAAACAGTTTCAAACATTTCAGCGTCATTACTCCATAAGACACAGGTATAACACATTCAAAATATTTACACCAGAGCAGATATTCATGAACAGAAGCTTAGTTACATTCACAAACACAAGCATGCTTTGTATGTAGGCCTATACAATCCAAAAACTATAATTATAAACATGTATGGCTATATTCATGAACAGAGAATATCCTATCACAGTAAAGTTTTGACTAATCATTCTTACTGACATTAGGCTAGTGACATTATAACTCATATTACTTTTATATCGTATTTCTGTCTGTTATAGAACATAAAAAAAACATCCTGGCATCGTGACATTTAGATGCGGTGAATGAAACTTCATAATGTTTCACTTGATTATACATTTAGTCAGGAATTATAGTTTGGAGAAAGTCTAACTAGTAAAATGTGTACAAGTTATGTGAAAACTAATACAAGTAGGTTAATAAAAAAGACTTACTCATGTTTTTTTCCTGAGGTA